AGAAGCACGTGCGTGAGCCTCCCTGTGCGCATGGTCTCGCATCTGACGCTGAGGTCGGGTCCAAATATGCCAGTATGCCAGCGAATAAGCGGTTGACACACAACAGACCCGTATTTGACCACCTGCAGAGGGGCCAGGGAAAGTACAGGAACAGCTGCACTAGCTATTGCTAGACCAGGAAGTGCTTCGAGCTTTCGTGGAGCAGCCGATGATAGCTCACCAGCTGTCGCACAAATACAAGCGCGCTGGAAGACGCAGATTGATGGCGACAGATGTTTCGTATGATTGACGCCCATGTGAACTGGGCACTTAGCTAGTGCAGCGTTGTACAACTTGTGCAGAGATAGTGCAGAGATATTTCCTTGCTTGAACAGACAAGCAAAAATCTCGATTGAATTGTCGAACCACGGGGCATTAAAAAATTGGCAACTTCAGACCCCCTCTAAAGCATCGCGGCCTAGGTAATGGCATACGTACCCAAGATGGCAATCTATTGAGCTGTCCTGTGGTAAAGCCTTGGCCCAATAATTACCCTTAGATGCAAGTAAAGAAAGGTTTGAATCCAATACCATGCCTATTCGAAACATCCTGTTGAAGATTGGCCTGGCGTAATGGGGGTGCGATGGCACTTTGGGTAGTGCCTCTAATTCTCTCGCAGCATCTAGAACCTAGGCGTGGCAGTCAGAAAATTCAAATTAGAAACATATTGAGTCTGAACGAACGCTGTCGACAACGCAGAGGAGTGTTCCAATCAAGAGACGCAGGTCCCCAGACGGGCTTAGTAGCATAGTATAATCGCCTCGGTACAAAAAAACAAAACAAAATGAGACGAGGCGTTCTGGTTGGGCACGAGCGCACCCCAGATCCAAGCGACGTGAGCCTCGCATCTATTTGTCCCTTGCCGGAACGGATGGTGGAAGGAATGACGACGGTGGTGCACAATGTTAGTGATAGACGGGTAGGCAGTGCAGGACCGTAACTATTCCGAAGTGGAAGACGATTGCTATAGGATAGACGGCCTTCACTGAAACGTCATAACGGAGTACGAATGCAGTTGTGTCTACTCTCCGTTTTAATATATTCCCATAATTTGTTGCGATCCGCTGACATGACGAGCTGTCAGACATGCTTTGCTGCGTTGACTTCGTGGCTTTTACAGATGGGAGATTTCGAAATTCGCATTAGTCAAGCATCACTACGGAACCCCATGGTCGTTATTGGGACCAATAGATCCGTGGACGAGAATATTGCAGACATGTCTCTTGAATTGCTTTATTCCGACCATCCTCCAACGAGGTCTGATGCTGACCGAGGGTAGGATGGTGAACTCAATTAGCTTCCGAAAATCATACTGGGAGAGAACCAGAGGGAAAAAAAATATGGCGAGCATATTGTGCAACGAGATTTTGCTGCCGTTGCCGAAGAATAGGTTACAATGCGCGAATTACCAGGTATACTGACGGTCAATTGGCTAAGAATTGGGAAGACGATTCTTTACTTTATGATGTACAAGTATAAATAAATATCTCTCATGGTTTTTTACAGAATTGAGCTACTAAATTCCAGCTGGTAGGAACCCCCCAGACGCTCGGGTTAGGTACATGCCTTTGCGCGATGCTATACCGTACCTACCCGACTAGTAAAAAACGGTGTACTACTAGAACCCCCACCATTCTTAGGTACATATTATCTGGCAAGCGCTTACCTTCTTACCTCTAGGGTTATAGAGGTACCTGTAATGATACGTGATTAAGCTTCCAACACAGTGACACTCTGTCGCATACACCGTATAACTATGTAATCCGTAAGCTGAGTTGTGCTCTTTTTTTTTTTCCTTCTCCTTTTCCTTTCGCGATAACTGTTGACCTCGTGACAGTCTCACCGGTATTGTAGCTCAATTATAGGCGTTATACCATAAAAAGCGCTGAAGCTAATGCGATAGCTTCACTTTTTTTTTATACCGCTGGGGGGTTTCTAAGCGTTGTATGATGGTGGTGCGATGAAAGCTCGCCACTCACCACATATTCGGGCTATACCTGAAGAAAAAAAGCTGTGCGACGGAATGATGGAACGGAATACTGGATTGGAAGACTCGATCACTATGTGCGACGCCGAAGAAAGCGCTGGGTCCTACTTCCTCCAATATAGTAGGTACATGCCGGACATGCGTAACTGTCGCTGTACCGAATGTTACCTTCAAGTCCTGTTTTGTGCTTGACCTTAGGGTCCTTGGGGTCCTTGGGGTCTTGAGGTCTTGGGACCTTCAACCTTTGGACCTGAGAGAGGAAAAATAAAAAATAAAAACCCCCACTCGAAGATTCTTGGATACTCTGGTACTTCGGCCTACTACGGTAGACTCTTGCCCGTCTCTATCCAACCAACGGCGATCCCCTCTCTTACGAGACTCCTGTCAGGTAGTCAGGTAGTCAAGTAGTCAAGTAGCCAAGTATATGCAGCTAGCATCATGACAATTACCTAAGTAGGTATTAGCGATGCTGAGCTGGGTTAGTAGCGCCGTCTTCTTGTCTCCTGTTCTTGTCACTCCTACCCTTCCCTCCGCCTGCGGGCGTTTGTCTTTCGTCAGCTCAGCTCCAACCAATATCGTCAAAGTCGAGCCTCCCCGTCGTTCCACCGGGGACCTTATATCTCTCTCGTTGTGCCATGTTGTTCCACTCGTCTCCCCTCGTTTATAACGGATCTCATTCAGCGTTGGACTCTTGCATAAACTCCCGTTCCATTTTCAGTCCACTTTCACGACCAAACATTACCATTTCGCCTTACATATTCCATCATAGGGCCCATTCGCTTCTCGCGTTGACCAGCTATTCATCCTACCGGGTCCCGCGTCCACTACCCGGTTCGGGCGCATGTCGAGCAGTTCTCAAACAAACCCTTGCGTCTATAAAGATCACCATCTATACACATATCAGGCCTCAGTGGGGCTTCCTCGAACTACCACTACTTGAATCCCAAGTGTCCCACTTCCGACTACGCATCCCAAGACCCTGAGATCACCAGGCCGCATATCCTCCTCGCAGATATAGATAAAAGGATCCTCTGTTTACCTTTTATCCCCGTTCCTCATACTACTCCTACTAACCCCCTACACTCTATTCTCTCTTCAACCGCACATATGACTTCATATCCTCCTTTCATCATGGCACGAAGGCGAGATACAGACTTCTCTAGTCATTCCGCTAGCACTCGGGATACCAGGCAAAGCAGCGACTCGTATGACTCAAGAAGTACTGCCCCTACGTCTCTCTATGACAGCCCCGCGTCAACTAAGGACTCGAGTTCTCAAGCTCGTAAATTCCAGCCAGAATGCTACTACGAGGAGGATCTTTCGCCGGCTACGAGTTTATACCCGCGGTCGTCGGTTGACACATACTCATCGCAAGCTTCAAGTGCTGAATTTTCGGACGATACGGATACGGACGATTGCCCTGAATTTTCGGATATACCTGACTTGCCCCCCTACCGACACGATATCGAGGAGTTCAATGTTAGAGCTTCAACCCCCGAGGAATTCGCCAGTGTATTTCCGTCCCTGAATCGATTAACTATTCGTCACGATGATTTTACGTCGGATGGGAACATGAACCTAAGGGTGGACACCACCGTTCCGGGTAGAAGAAAGAAGACGCTCCAACTGTTTCACCTGCGCATGTACGATCTGAACAAGCGAGAGTTTTCTCTGAGACGGTATAGCCGGGATTCTGGCCGCGAAGTGTGCAACTCAAAACGAAAATACGTCGAGCCGCCCAGTTCCGCCCGCCCTAAATTGCAGCGATCGATGTCAACTGCGGTGAAGTCCTTAGCCAAGCGACCGCAACTCATCCGCATTCCTACTGGAGGCTCCGTCTTCTCGTCGAGGAGCCGACCAGGCACGAGTCACTCTGGTGCCTCGACCGATGATGACTTTACCGAAGCTGCCACCAGTCCTATTCCTATCGACAAGAAGCAGAAGGCCCGCCCAACACCCACGAATACGATCAAACTCGAGTTCTCTAATTATGCGCGTGTTGATGTGGTAAGGCGCGGAAAGAAGAATGCGAAGAAGTACGAGTTCGAATGGTGGGGCCACACGTACTCCTGGAAGAGAGTAGTGGACAAGCTCACGGGTTGCGTCTCCTATCATCTATTACGAGATGGTCACAACCACTCGCCTGTAGCGCACATCGTCCCCGAAACTCGATCACCGACCCAGGTTGCCGCTGATGAGGCTGCTGGTGGCTGGGTGCCGCCTTGTCACATGTGGATTAGTGACGAGAGTTTAGTCGACGCTATGACCGACGTTGCTGAGTAAGTCTTCATGAAATCAGCCTCCTTTTCCCCCTTAAACAAATACTAATGATATTATTAGCATCGTCGTTGCAACTGGCATCATGGCGCTTGTCGATGACTGCATCATGGAGCGTTGGCAAACAAAGAAGAGCCCTCGCGCCGTATTCCCGCTCTTATCTAGATCCCTAGATCTCAGCCCCAAGTTTCTTGTACAACAAATGTTTACCCGTAGGAATTCGGATCATCATCCGAGTCCATTACGCTTTCAGAAGGCCGTGCCGGTTTACTGAGAGCCGACCGACGACAGAAGATCCCGATCACTTAAGACGGGTTTAAACTATATTTGAGCACGCGGGGCCAGGCCGCCACAGTTTTTTGTTTGTTTTATTCTCCGTTGACGCATCATCTTGACGACCACAGCACCTCGGACGGGCGGCGTCCCGTCGAGGGCATATACCTTCGCTTCTTTTAATCCGACATTTTCTTATTATTTTTTGAAAAGGGAAAATAAAAAGGCACTCCTCAAGCTCGAAAATGTCGAGCTGACGACCGATGACGACGATTTGACGACGCAGCATCTCATCCTATGTTACCACCAAAAGTTTTGCTTCATCTATTGTCTTATTTCATATCCTTGGGTTTTTATTTTTCTTTTATTTTTATTTTTAAAAAAATACCTCTTCTCCGTTTCGGCCAACATTATTAGACTGAACGTCGATGGAGAAATCACCTCCAGCATCACTTACGGCATGTTATATATATTTTTATTGGATCTAGGGTATGCATCGCATTGGGCGGCAGCGGCAGCGGCAGCGGCAGCGGTAACGGCGAAGGCGAAGGCGCGCGCATGCATACTCACCTAGATATACTGCTTTACACGGTATCGGCGCTGTACATATCATATCCTTTTTGCTTTGTCTGTTCTTCTCGGGCCACGAGCATTGGGGGGTATAGGTGCATCGGTCGGCGGCGTATGAGTGTCTGGTTTTTACAAGTCTGTCAGACTATTGGTTTTTTTCCCTTTTCTTTTTTTTTTACACTACTACTACTACTACCATCATCATCGTCCTTGCGAGGAACAGCACGCATATCGCTAGCGTTGTTTTTCATTTGTTGTTTTTACTTGTATCAACGAACTATATACCTTAGGTGCCTATTAGGGACCCGGCTATGGGCGGAATCAGATTAGCTCTATGATGCCGTGAATTTGTCAAATATACATATTTTGATATATTCTACTAGTTACTTGACATTGTCGACGTGAAAATAATTGACTTGGATTGTGAAGAATGATCTTTTTCGTATCGTAGCTAGAGAATACATAGCTCATCTTTAGAAGTGCATGTCCTATTATCTGGCTACACACTCCTTAACAAAGTATTCCAAGTTGATGGTTCAACGAAGGAGTCTATTTGAAGTACCATTATAATATACCAACTACCAGTTTTCCTGACTAGGCACATGGACTAACGAAATAGCTTAACCTATAATCGACCGCCTCCTTCCCTTTAAAACTCATCATCACCGACCCCTTCCTCTCCCCTCGGTATACCAGCATCGAACCACCCGCCGAAATCTAACTTCATAAGCAGTCTATCGATCCCGCCTGTCCGCCTAGGCCTATACCCAGTCCCCTCTTCATCGAATACTTCATTGCCAGCGTCATTTTCCTCCTCGCCGTCTAATCCCCCGTCCTCAAGCTCAGCCATAAACGCTGAGTCAATACTCAGCGCTCTAAGGGCGGCGACGACAGCGCGCACGCCATCCTTAACGCCGGCCTCAACTTCGCGGATACGCATACGTACGTCGGCTTCCTCGGCAACTAGGTCCGCGAATGCGTCCACGACGCCTTCGTCCGCTTCGAGGTCTGCTGCCGCCCAGACCCCGTGGAGGCGGTGTACGAGGGCGACGAGGTGGTCGGTGTTCACTAGAAGTTCGTATAGGGGATTTGTGAAGGATGATTGTGTTAGGAGGAGGCGGCGGATAAGGGTCCGGAGGTATAGTCGGTGGGCTATGGCGAGGGTTTGAGGATCGTGATGCGGGGGGCTTGAGCTCTGTGGTGTCCGATCTGGTTCTGGAGGATTGTCTGTATTGCCAAGGCTATCTTGGCCATAGGAATCATTGCTGTTGCTGATATGCTTATCGCCGGACGAATTTGGTTTATCATGTTGTTCATGGCTTTTCTTGCCTATTATCCAGCCATGGAAGTCATCCCAAAGGCCTTCTACGACTTCAACCTGGAGATATGCTTCAGTTTCAGCCAGGAAGAAGATAGCGGCACTGCTCGTACTCCACGCGCTCCGCATTATAGACGAGCGCACAGAGGAACGCTCTCGAAGAACGCGTGTCCTTGAAGCACCGCTTCTAGTAGTACTATATGGAGGTCTAGGGGGTGCTGGATGGTGGCGGCGCAGGGCTGTTATTTTCCACAGACCCGTCAGATGGAGGTGAGAGCGGCGGATCGATAGCAGGTAAGAATTAATTGAAGTGTAGATCTGGACGTCAGATGCAGTTAAGAATAAGTCCAGAGGTGGCGGGATCTGAGATGTGAGGACCACGGGGACAGAGAAAAGAAGATTTCGGAACGGAGTGTCTGCAATACTAGTAGGTGCTTGATGGTCCATACCAGCCTTGCCCTTCATAGGGGTTGAAGCTTTGGTCTTGGATAGATTCAGCCGTAGTACATCTCGCGCCTTCTCTAGACCTTCATCTTCGTCTGCGTGCTGACCCTGCATTGAGCCTAGCACAGTCCATGTCTTCGTGAGAACTGCTGCGACTTCACCTTCTTTCACCATCACATTGCTAAGCCCAACCCGCTTCTCGTAAGCGAGGTTATCGGCACGCCGCCAGCGGTTGCGAATTACCTCATCAGCTTGCTGTGTAAGGGCCATAGCAAATTCGCCACGTCCAAGCAGAAAGAAATCACGGAATAAAACCAACATCTCAAGTACCCTAGATAGTGGCAATAGCTTCTGTAAGATTGTCCGAGACAATGTGAGCCGGATCGATGTGATAGCTCTCGAAAACGCGGCGCTGTTGAGGGGAGATTCTAAATCCGCGATGGTCTGAAGTTGGGACGAGAGGTGGCCAAGTCCATTGCTGCTTGGCTCTATACTGCTCCTGGTTTTCACCCGATTCAAGGATGTTCCGATAAACAGCATGGATGTGGCTGCAGATGTTGTAACAAATGATGGCAATAACCGCTGGTTAATCGAATATCCCTAGTTCCATCAGCAACGATAACTTTCAGAGTTGGCGGGAATAGAATTTCTCACTAGTTCGTCACGTTTCTTCTTCTGGATGAAGAAGTCTACATCCCCCAATATAGGTATGGTACCGTAGAGGACCCAAGCGGAAACTTGCTTCAGCCAAGCAGTTTCGGCAACTCTGACGAGGCTAAGCGCAGTCTCCCCAATATCAGCGTAGCCAGTCTGAAGCTCATCGCGTAATTTGTTAATAAGCTGCGCTGCTCGACAAGGAGAGCCCTCGTCCTCTTTGAGCATGAACTGGACCAAATCCCATAGCCATTCCATTCGACGAGTCCAGCCCGAAAACTCGCCAATGACGGCGGTCAGGGGGACGATATTATAAGCACCAACGAGGGAAGCATCTTTTCGAAGGATGCTTTCTTCAACTTCCAGCACTTTCCTCTGAAATGCGGCGAGATAGAGAGAATTGATAGCAGTCGATACTGCGCGGCATATGATAGAAGGGTGAGAGGCGCTGACCTGAGCAGTATAAGAAATGAGTTTGCAATGAAGATCACTTAGATGACCGGCGGTCCTCAATAGTTCCCTCTCTGGTGGTGATAGGATGGATTGTGCTCTGGGCTCGGTATAGTCATTCCTGAGAAGGGGCGAGGGGTGCCCCGATAGGGAGAGCAGGATCTCATGGAGCATTGTGGAGCTGACGAGCTGTTACGGTGTTAGAAACGCGCTTTAGAGACTTGCGAATTCATTCGACCGTAGGAGCTTAACCCTTGTAAGACATGTGGAGGCTTCTTAGACCGGATCTTATCACCGATATCCTGAATTAAGAGAATAATGGAACCGAGGCATTCGTAGCGGCACATCTGAACGGGTAAACACGCCGACAGTACTGTGTATCGTAGACATGAAATGGCGATCTGGATGAAGGTAGTTGTCGATAAAGAGCAAAGTCATTCTTCACCTTTTAATAATAATAATAAATTTTCAGCCAGAGCAACTCGGAATTTCAGACATCTTCATATTTGCATAAAAGCAATGGACCCTGCGAAATGGATTTTCTTTGTAAATGGGACGTCAATGGGGCGTACCTATGTAGATTGAGCTAGTCGCACCTTGTTTATGAAGCACTTGTCTCCTTTCTCGACTTCTTCGTCGCGCCTGCTTTCAAATCTAAGCGCGTCAAGCGTAGCAGTGCACGTGACTTTATATCCATGTACCTGTACATATGTAATTCTACGTCAGATTGATATAACTAGTACCTACTTTAGGTACATAACCTCATGTAATTAATAAATTACACTACCTATTACACACTCATGTTTGCTATGTTTTTTTTGTTCCCGTCTCAGTAGATATTTTATTACGGTCGTAAACTTGGGCAACTTCAAAGTTTCTATAGTATGTCGCTAACGTTTCGGCGCCTTATTGTTTGATGCGCTACTAGTGCTTGCTGAATCTGGAACCAAATACGCCTTGGAGCTGTCAGACCTCTTTACTGGCATTGCACTACTAGTATCATCCCCTACAATGATTTCACCTCCCCCCTTTACTTTTCCAACCACCATACCCTTTCCTACCGCTTTTATAACGGCCTTTCGAGAGACTCCTGTAACATCGATATAAACTAGGCCGACATTCTTGACACTCCCACTTAGGTGCTTGGAAAGCTCTCCAGCTTCGGCTCCCCATTTGTGGGCTACTATGTTTGTCGCGGACGACGATGCCGAAGTTAAGAGATTGCGTGTTGCATGGTCAATTCCATCCGCGACAGTCGTAAAAGCCATTAAACTCTTGTTCAATAGACCAGGCTTGAATGACTCAATTGGTTTTCCATCCTGATCGAAACCCCTTTTTCCTTCCCTAACACCGCGCCCTGCGACCGTAGCCCCCACATTCTGGGCCAACCTGGTCACTTGCCCAACCGTTTTAGACGACAGCTCGGCTACACCTCCCGAGAACGTGCCTATCCGGCGGACTCGTTCATGTGTTGCAGGCGTAAATGTCACAGCTTTACTAGTGGGTTTCGTTTTCTTAACAAAGGTATCCGAGCCGCTCTGCATAGCATTGGTGACGAAATCTGACGTGGTTATGATTAGTCGAGATGCGTACGCTGCTTTCGATACGATGAACGACTTTTTGTAGGCTGGATGCAGTTCCATTTCCAAGGTTTCCGGCGACGCGGGGACTACGGCAAGTTTGTTTGTTCCTTCTTCCGGAAGGGTAATCTCGACAGGATCTGTTATTGTGTTAATTGTTGCTAAACGAAGCTCCAGGGAACAGCGATGCATCCATACCTTTGGAGCCTGGTTTCACGCCAGACTCAATGATCTGGAACCCCTCCGATAGTTCTCCTATAACACTACCATCTTCCTCATCGACTAGTACAATCTGACCGCCTGGCTGAGCACTTTGACTGCCCTTTACGTAGCCCTCACCAGGTTTGTATGAACCCGGATTATATGCTGGAAGCTGCTCCGAAGACTCAGCCTTAGACTTGGACGTTTTTGGCGATGATCTAGTAGAAGTCGGCGGCGTTGACGACGAGGACTTCTCTTTCTCCTTTTCTCTTCTTGCAGCCTTTGGCGGCGGTGCTCTTTCGAGAAACGCAGTACATTGCGCCAGGATTGTTTCGAAGGTGTCTATATCCTCTTGAAGTCCTTTACGACTGCCGACTGGAGGGAATTCGATGCGCGTGAAGGCACCGCTATCGGGACCGAGATCCCATCTTGGGATGAGGTAGCTCCTGGGCGGTTGGTGGTAGATCTGAGTAGTCGCAGGTAGCGGAAGGTCTAATTCGGGTGGTAGATGAAGATGAAGATAGAAATCTTCAGCAGCCGGCCCATCCTGGCCGTCTGGCGAAATAGGTTCAGCGAGGGGAGATGAGGTCGGAACCATTAACAGTGACAATGTCTGCGGTCCAGCAGGTGTCAGGGACTCTTCCTTCCCATAGGCGAGGTGGTAGGCTGAGACGCCTTGAATAGCGTATAATAGCCTGGGATCCTGTTGGGGGCGCGATGTCAGTACTGCAGTACTACAGTATGCACAATGACAGCATCATAGAGTGCACCAACTTACATTGTGTCCAGATGCCATCTTTTCTCGAGGCACAAGGATATAGCGATCTGGAATTGATTCCTGAGAAATTGTCGCTTGGTAGCGAATGGCTTACTACACGAGAGACTGTCGTGTATTCCGATTTCTAATAGTAACAAGATCTAGATGCAGTAAATACGGCGGCTATTAGATGGGAGGATTGGGATGGGGGTATGGAGATATGGAATTATGGAATTATCTAGCGCAGCCAACAGGAATAAAGAATTAAGAATAAACAAGATTGAAATGTCGTTGGCTCTGGTATATTTAGTGCACAATCGCTAAAGTCGGAGAGGCAAGGTGAATGAATGAAAGAGCTTCCAGCGCTTAAAGACAAGCGCCGTGTGGTTACAAGACTGGAACGTGGTGTGTACGAGAGGCCTCATAGCGACGTCATTGGGTGGTTTCAGTGTGATGGCCACTGTGACTCCCTGCCAATACCCTCTAAAAAGAAGTGCATAGGTACCATCATTGATATGTGTTAGGTAGTGTATGTGCTACATGTTTTTACATTTACATGTACCCAGGTATCTCTCTGAAGGTGTTTCTATCCCTTCCTGTCTAAGGGGCAGTTTCGCGTGACCTTGGCACACGAGCACACGAGATAACTCAGGTAAGTTAGGTAGTAACCTAGGCATGTACTTGACCTACTTCACACCTAAAAGATGAGGGGCAACTTTTAGTCAGGTAAGTGTAAGTCCTAAAATACATCTTATATTGGTGGGGGCTGAGGGGTAGAGAGGAAAGAGAGCGGAACTCACCTAAGGGCTACCTCTATGTAGTGAGGGTTAGTCAGTCCTGCCAGTACATTAGGTACCCCGTTCCTTCTCCCTCACCTCCCTAACCTCTGTGGCGGGTTAACGAGGCGTTAGTGAGATTTCTCCAAAAAAAAGAAAAAAAAAAAAAAAACCCCCCCAAAAAGACCCGTCCTACATCCACTCAGAGGCTTGGAGTGTGGGTTGTTGGTGACCGGTGCAGTTAAATCCCTGACAGTTCTTCTCTTATTTGACCACATATTACAAAATACATGGCCAAGAGCCTCATGACAAGTCAGTGGCAATAGAGCTCCTGCTATTGCTGCTGTTGCTGCTGCTGCTGCTGACGACGCAGCCCTTTACTTATGCGCTGCGTAGACGAAGAAGCCAAGATAATTCAATAGGACATATTCAAGATAGCTATGACAACATGTATTGGCTGCTTCTTAGGTCTGAGATGATAGATCCTCAAAGATCTGTCTCAAGGAAACCGGAAAGGATTCTATCTTCAGCCAAATCGATCCCGTGCGGTAAACGTGCATATCTGCAGCGGAGACCATGAAACCGGTCAAAGTTGCCGAAACATGTGCAATAAATATCTCTGCATTGCTCGGCAACTTAAGGCCCTATACAGCAACTAGAAGAAATAGAACGGGTCATTGAGCAACCCAAAAGCATCAGCTTTAGAAAACCTCGGCGCCAACATTTCTTATCCGAGACTCTTTTAAGTTAGTCATTCTTTGGATTAATAATAGAGATGACCCTTCTGAGCCTGCTAGAAACCAGACCCCCCCCACGAGTCTCGGATGCAAGCGCTGGTGGTTGGACCGGGATTCAAGTATGTGTCCCGAGGAACGTTACAGCCTACCGCCATTGACGACTTGCGAGTCGCAAAAGATGACCGGTATTCCACATTCTACACCAACACATCACCAAGGATTTATGAAAAATGACTGTTGGACGTTCCTCAATAACTATTCTGCCAACATCTATATAGGACAATATCTAGGACTACAATTATTCGGCCTAACCTAACGTACATTTGTTGAATGCAGCCTTCACAGTGCCTCGTTGCTTTAGTAGGGGAGTTTATCCGTATGTTAGGTATGTATGTATGTATAACACCCCTTGTCAATATTATGAGTAAGGAGACAGGCTACCTAGGCTACCTACATAGGGTGACGGATGGGTAACATCTGAGCACATCGGCCCGTGGACGTGTCAGGAAACGTTAATACGACCTACCACACCGAGTCTTCTTCCTTCGAACGAGTACCAACAGACGAGAAGGGCTAACAATTCAAGGATTTGCTTTTTTCCCCTTCTATATACACACTATTTTATCTTTAAATTATAGTCTGCAGCATCATATGCTGTCGCAAATGGCATATCTTCTAATGCTGTGCATCCTCAGTTCTCATCTTGTAGCATCGGAACCACCTTTATCAAATCATCGGCCCTGATATCTGTGTTCGTTCCTTTTTCCCTAGGAATAAGGAAGCCCTCCCGGGGCGACGTGCATATGAGCCTTGTCGGGGACCCGCAACCGCGGCCTGTGCGCCAGATGAGCGCTTTCGATCAGGTCCAAGACTCCAAGCTGCTCGTTCATTGGATATCCAAAGGAAAGCCGATCTTCGTCCGCCCTCCAACAACTGCTTAGCTTGGGTAGATTGGTCTCTACCCGACCCGTCCGTGTCCGGGGAACTTTTAACCCTTGGAGCCTTCTAGGCTTGCTTTACCCGACAAGGACGAGCTATTTCCCTTTCTCCAGTGCCCACTCCGACGTAGACACTGTAAACTCATCCCATCTATGTATCTTCGTCTGCCAATATCAGATTGATACTCTCTCAAAGTGTTGCACGCTTAGGGGTTTATTTTTCGTCCATCATATTCATATTCCTCATATTCCCATTCTTCGTACTACTACAGGTCACTTATTAGGCCCTTTCCATTTCATGTTATCAATGTGTATCCCCGATATTATAGCTAGATTACCCCTTGTCCATAGCTATACGGCTGCCGTATAGGTGTTTACATTTTTAAGTGTGCTTATGCCGAAAGACGACGAAGCTCTATACTAGATAACGTTAGAAACTCTCAGCTACGACCGCGCTCCTACAACTAGCTGTTGTTTACGAGTCGCGCCCCATTTGCGGACAGTCGCAGCTCGATGCTGTAGCACATTACTAGGAATCGCATCTGACCATTCAATTCGATTAAAGGACGATCCAGAAAGGGGTCCCGGAACACAACACATGGTTTTCCCGTTACTCAAATACCAATCATCTTAGGAATACGAGCACAATCGTCTTCACTCAAACTTGTCTTTTGAAGTATCGTGTCCGACCCCGCGGCGTCGTTCGCTCCGCGAGTTGTCTCGAAAAGGTCTACTAGGCCGTTTGCAATCCATCTGTGTCTTCCGGGTCTGCCTTGGACCCAGCCGTCACCATTTCCACTCCAATTCGTATCCAGTCGATACTCTCCTCTCCCGATCGGTTAGGCGCCGATGAGAATTCGAATATAGGTCAGCATCAAGCTGCTCCGCAGAGGCAGTTTGACGAAGCGGTCCCTTCCGCGGATACTACCCTCAAGCACCAAATCCCACCAGTGCCACCCAGTCAACAGCTTTCCAATACCGATACATCACGGGTAAAGGCTCTTGGAAACGTCGCCGCTCGGGGGCTGGGGGATGACGAGGCTAAGGCAATGGTAGCAGGCAGCATTGAGGGGAAGAAACCCCCAAAGATGCGCCCCCCAATGCGATCTAGCATTGCCTGCACACGTTGCCGGAAGAGTAAAATAAAATGTACGTCAATTTGCCAAGGATAAAGTTGCGGGCATAGTTCTTACTCGACACCTCTCATGACCAGCTACTAATCTGAATAACTAGGTGAGAATACTGGCGGTACAAATCCTTGTGACGGCTGCATCAAGACGGGAAAACAGTGTATCTTCAAATTGCCCGAACCTGCACCTCCAAAGAGAGCCGAGCCACCTACGCTTGCCAGGCAGGAACGAGACGGAGGATCTGATAGGAAGAAGCTCAAAAAGATAGACGAGATATCGAAAGGTGATAATCAAAAAGCAAGTGTTTACGCTGAGGAGGTACTTTCAGCACCTTTCTTAACTGAAGACCTGTGGGAGCAAGTATTAGATCTCTACAAGCTACATTTCGCCCCGGAACTTCCCTTTCTACACTTACCCACAATGAAGGAGAAATTGGGGCGCAAGTTCAAAAATCAACAGTCGGACGGTAACCCGGATCTCAACTTCAACTTGGTGCTACTAGGCGTCCTTACTCTTACCGCACGCTTTCACCCAGACCTCGTCAAATATCTCGCCCATATTTGCAGTAACCAACCCGGCAACGCTAGGACTAGACCGGTTCAGACGCCGCTTGATCCCGCTACAGCGTCTGAATATTATGCCGACGTTCTTACCATGGCTTTGGGTCCGATACGAACGGCGATGAAAACTGCCTCCGTCGAGAGGGTGGCAGCTTTTCTCATGTTGGGATTGTACGAGTGGAGTCAAACTCTGCCGAGGACGGGAGGACTAGGCGCTTGGATGTACGTTGGTCTTGCCATTAGGATGGCACAGTATTTAGGGCTTGGGTTTAGCGACTCACCCGACTCTCCCGACTCTCCTGACGACCAGTCTAAATCTTTGTCTCAGAAAGCATTAGAGAAAGAAGTCAGGAGGCGGACCATGTTCAGCTGCTTTATTCTAGATCGCATGCTCTCTTGCGGTAAGGAACGAGTGTCTATCATACAATCAGAGGATATAAAAATCCAACTTCCATGCTCCGAGGATAAGTTTGATCTAGCGATGGAAGCTCGCACGGGCTTCCTCAAGGATAGAGGTCGGCATGGCATGGACGATAGTGTACTCGCTCGGTTTATTCAGTTGGTAGATATATGGGGAGAGATTTCGAAGTTTAGCTCATCAGGTGGACGCCTCAACGACAAGGAAAAGGAGCACCCACCATGGACTAAGGGGAGCACTTTTTATCAGCTTTCCGAGAAGCTTGCAGAATTCGATGCGGAACTTCCCGACACTTTTACGTTTTCACGGTCCAACTACTTCAAGCATGAAAACCACCAGGCTTCCAGTGTATATGTGCTGTTGCACATGCTTAGGTGTGTCTGCTTAATCATGCTACACCGAGAATATATACCCTTCGTACCTGTTCGGTGCAAAGAACCAGAAGGACCTCTCGATAAACCCATCTTTCAGGAGGACAAATTCGGCCCACCTCCAAAAGACTTTTGGATGTCTAGTGCGGAACAGGTATTTAAGGCGTCCCGGGGGATTATTGATTTAATTGAGATATGCCAAAGGAAGGACAAGTTGCCCCAATCAACCATCGTCCTCTTCGCGATCTGGACCGCCTCTTTTGTAGGGTTGTATGCCGAACATTTCCCTCAGATGGACACGGAAAAACACATGTTGGAATATGATTTCGAAACTACACGGCAATCCGAATCCGCATCCGAAGTATTTAGACGTGGGTCGGTGGCATTCGCATTCGTAACGCTTCGTAAGATGTCTATGTGGCTCAAGATGGCATCTACATATGTGTTGATTCTGCGGCAGATGGACGACTATTTCGGGAATATTAAGCGGGATTACTATAAATTTGCGACAAAGAACCGTGGAAATAAGGAAAGACCCTCCCGGGTTCGCGAAGGTGGCACTGGCGGAGGGGTTGAAGAATATAAGCCTTTGACCGGGAAGCTAAAAGACTTTGGGTTTCTCCAAATTGAGGGTGAGAATATTGAGAGTCCACATCGAACATCGCCCAGCCCCATGCCATCACGAGGGATGGAAGCTCCAGATACGTCGACCAAGAGCAAAACACCAAAACTAGCTCCACCTGGATCTTTTACGGCAATCAATCACACTCCAGTGGTGTCAGCCCCAGATGTCGGGCGTACATTCGCCAACGAAGCAGGTTATCCAACACCTCACCCTGAGTCGTACGCCGAGGCTTGGCGATGCCCGCCTCAGCAGCAGCAGGAGCAGCAGCAGCAGCAGCAGCAGCAGCAGCAGCAACAGCAACAGCATCCGCCGCTCCAGGTCTATACTACGTCGGAAGAACTACTGGATACCACGGCCCTCGCCACCGAAGCTCACGACCGGCTTTTCTGGGATAATCTCAAGAAGGAAGAACCGCGCCGTATCGGCACGATAGGAGATCTTGGTTACTTCTCGAGCGGAGACTCCCAACTCCCCATGGCCGACATGCCCTTTGGAGATTCGACTTTAATTCACGGCCTGCAAGATTCGTCTTTCCAATACCTACAGCAGATGGCGGAGTTTTAAGGTTCCAAGCAGCGAGAAGAGTCAATAGGAGAAGAAGTGTTATCGGGCAGTCTAATCACGCTATAGGGGGTTTTCGGGGTTGCATGATAGCGAAGAGGAAAATGGGGACATGACGTTTTCATAACTAGGCGTTTGGTGGTGATTATCTAGGTAGATATGCCGGTAGCATATCCTGTTGTGTACGAGGTGATTCATATCGAGGTTGGCCGGGTTGTGTGTCGCTCTAATGGTTGCTATGTATTTATCTCGTTTCTCAGATATCCAAGGCAGTTAAGTTGTAAGGTTAGCAGTTGCCGTTGCAGCGCCCGGCTTGTCGGTCGTGCGTGCTTGTGAATGTCGAAAAGATTAATACCTAGCGAAATTTATTGGCGAGTCGGACTGAACTTGTTGCGGTATTGTGTCGTTTCCTTCTCTCGGCTAAGGGGACATGTGTGTATTCGTTCGCATGGGCAGATGTGAATATCGACTCTACGGTAGTTGTATGTTGGTGTTATGGCAATATGGGAAATGAGCAATACTTACCTACGTATAGAATCCAGGCAGGTAGGCAGTCCATATCCGCGAATACATCATCTTTTATACATATATCCCCGGCAGCTCTACCGGCTTAGGTACCAAGGCGGGCCGATCCCGTGGGAATCGCCGCTCGGCTATTGGTATTGATATTAACACTATATAGGTGATTTAGATGATACCTACGACAGACTCGTATAATTAGGTAAGGATAGGTTGGTTAGGGTAGGGGGTTGGGAAGAAGCGCTAGTGGCGGTAAGGCGTCTGGGATAAAGTGAGATAGACTGCCGGGCCGGGTAACAGTGGAGGGTAATCTGCGTAGGGGTCCTGGGGAGTGGGAGCCTTATGGATATATGATATGATGGGATGAATAGGATTGAGAACGGTGGTTAAGACTTCGAGAAATGCGTCTATAATGGTAGGCATACGTAACATGATATGATATGATATGATATGTATTTAACTATGCTGTCGCGAAATCCTGTGAGATTCATTTGCTTAACTACATTGTATATAGGCCGAAATTCGCAATTCGTTACACACGGGCTACGACGGATTTGATATGTCGTATAATATGCCCTAGGAAGAATATCACATCGTTGAACCTAGCGCGGGAGGCTTATCGCTTGTAGTTATTTGACTACCCCCTTAAATTTACCAGGTATTCTCCGAGATTTATAAGTTATCTAAGTTAGGTACGTTAATGTACCTCATAGATGATAGCTAAGTCTACAACGGAGAAGACAATTCCAGCCTCACAATAACTCAGACGGGCTCACGCATAAAGGCATATTAATTGTGGTCTGATGATTACGCTGCGGAGTACGGTCAATTGCGTGTCTCTGCCTCATCTCGCAAGATACCCAGGTGGACTACAAAGCCGGGGTTCGACCGTAATCCCTCAGTTAAAGCGTTATCTGGAATGCGCCATGTCCGGAAATACCTGCTGAACTCCTTTATCCACGACTCAAATATCTCCGGATCTCTAAGTTGCTGCGCAACTAGACAGACGGCGGTCTTGTCGGCGCCATTCTCGTCCGATGCTCTCAATCTACATACGTCAGCACAGGTTTGCACCAGCGGTTGGATCAGCGTGTCGTTATAGATGCAATCGCAAGCAATGACGAGGTCAAAGCTCTTGACCTTATCGCTTCCTGTAAGGGACGGTGTCACCTCGTCCAACTCCCAGTCTAGCGGGACGAATCGTAGTTCAGCCTTGGGATAGACAGCCGACGGCTTGCCTTTTCGCTTTTGAGAAGTAGAAGTAGTCTTAGTCTGCTTTGGGTTTCTCAGGGGACTATTTTCATTGATGTTCTTCTCTACTAGTCTCGCGACGTAGGACTGGTCTGTGAGGGTATACTTTGCGACCAATGGCGCAAGAACCAATCCCACTAGGCCAGAGATTCCACAACCCAATTCCAGCACATCGGAACAGGATGATAATATGCCAGAGGCCCAGAGGGGATTATCGGAAGCGGCTAACCAATCGGCTATGAGCGGAGTGATTTTCCACACAACAGCGCCCGTGGTACTTCCTGGACGGTTTAAGATGGTTGGTGATTGATGAATTACGTAGTCCTTGCCAGCAACGCTGAGGTCCAACGTGGTCGCCTGAGGATCCACGAAGCCTAAGTTCTGGGACGGGATATCCTGGGAGTATAGTAAGAAGGTTTCTGATGAGGGTCGTGTGTTAGTGGAGATGGAACGGAAGGTCGGTATGTAAGAGGGTATGTAAGAGGAACGGAGACTCGGTCTCAATCTTGCCTTCTTCCGGGTCTGATATCTCTGGACCGAGCTGATCAAGCAGGGACGGGAACGCCATTATTGATTGATTTAGCTGCAACGCCTCTTGACGCGCAAGTCTACAGCCACACATGTCAGGAACGCTGCATTGTGATTCGTACATACATACTGAATATCATGAGAGTTGCTCACAGGAATTACGTGTACAAGACGGTTTAGGGATCTTATAGATCGTCTAAAACCTTCCTAGAAGAAAAAATGCGGCTTATTACCTTAGGTATGTATATGTATATGGTATATAGCTGGATAGTAGGTGGGATTTGCAATGTCTTGGCTAAATTCCCCTGGGATGTACGAAGTGTAGCATTCATTCGTATGTACGTATGCCGGTGGTAGAATTTGCAATTGCAACGCTATTTGAGATAAGCTGTCAGGAGATGTGTATTCGAATAGATTGGCTCAACAGAATAAATCGATGAAACGAATAAAACGGCTTGTCCTCTTGGCGTCCCAATACCGTTGGGGATTATAAGAAGGAGAGGCTTAGAGACAACTACCAAGTAGAAAATTCGGGTTTACCTATTGAAGATTTAGATGCACACATACCTAAGAGGTACATACATAAGAATGTAGTGTAGGTACCTAGGTATGTAGGTACCCACAGAGCAATTAGTGCCGTAACTATGGGTATAACAACAGACGCTAAACTCACCCAGGGTCTAGGGGATTAAGTCTCGGCACCCTCAAAGGCTCAAATTGGCAAGGGGTATGGTTTTATTGGAACGGAGTGATACTAGTGTCGTCATGGGGCAAGCCTGGAAGGTAAGAGCTTAGCAGCCAGGAAGCAGCTAAGGATCTTGGATGCATTGGGGAAGCCCCAGAAAAAAACCCGCCTGCACCTTCGACTTACAAGAATCAAGAAACGTCCAAGACAATATTCTTCATCTCTTCTTCATAACAACTCAATAAACCTTTAGGTACCTAACTAAGGTCGCTTGGATAGATTAATGAATGAATAAGAGAGATTATTACCTTTCTAGCCGGCCTAACCCCATTCTCATAACTTATTAACCTAGACAGTTCATCATCTTCCATCTTCCGCCTTCTGTGGCCTACACCAACCTAAGCATTCGTGGCCCTTCGTTTACATCATCGTCCGGATTTCCTAAGTCTCCCACACCGAACCTCCTGTATTCCAACCCGCAACTATGGCGAGCACGGACGAGTGGCGAGAAGCAAAGCTAAGGCATGTGGTCCTTCAACCCAAAGCCACCGCAAAACCACCGTATTCCATTGAATCGCCGGGAGCCGAAGCCGTTGTGGGCGAGACGAAACCCCGTAGACATCCGTTGACAAAGGATGGACTTATCACCAAACCTTCCGATGACATCACTACCGTCTATGAGCTCCTACGAGTGAGCGTTGCCAAGTTCGGCAATGCAAAAGCCATGGGCTCTCGGCGCCTCGTGCGCACCCACCAGGAAAGCAAGAAGGTCAAGAAGATAGTGGATGGTCAGGAGCAAGAGGTGAACAAGGCTTGGACATTTTTCGAACTCGGTCCCTACGAATACCTCACATACAATGACTTCGAGAAGTTGGTCTTAAATCTTGGTTCTGGTCTGAGGAAACTTGGTATGAAAAAAGGGGACAGAGTTCATATCTTCGCTGCCACGAGCGCCAACTGGCTGGCTACTTCGCATGCCGCCTCCTCCCAATCGATGCCAATTGTAACCGCCTACGATACGCTCGGCGAGGAAGGATTGAAACACTCGATGGTTGCGACAGGTGCCAAGGCCATCTTCTTGGACCCTCATCTAATACCTACGCTTGGCAACGTCCTCAAGGATGCCACCGAAGTCCGTTACGTCATTTGGAACAACCAGCACCAAGTCAGACAGGAATACATGAACAACCTAAAGAGCGCCTACCCCCACATTAAGGTCGTGAGCTTTAAGGAGTTGGAAAAGCTTGGTAGAGATGAGCCGTTTGACCCAGTCCCTCCCACTCCCGAAGATCTCTGCTGTATCATGTACACTTCGGGATCCACGGGCACCCCTAAGGGGGTCCCCCTTAAGCACAGGAACCTCGTTGCTGCCGGTAAGCATCGTTATTCGAGAATGAGATTATACCAAGCTAACCCGGTCAACAGTTGCCGGCGTCAGTGTTGTAGTCCAGCCCTTCATTGGTCCCGGTGATGGTCTGTTAACTTATCTTCCATTGGCCCATATTCTCGAGCTTGTTTTCGAAAATGCCTCTATATACTGGGGATGCACTATGGGTTACGGAAACCCAAAGACATTGTCAGATGCCTCGGTTCGTAACTGTTTTGGCGATATTCGCGAGTTCAAACCCTCCGTCCTTGTGGGTGTGCCGGCAGTATGGGAGTCTGTCAAGAAGGGAATAACCTTCAAAGTCCACGAAGGTGGTCCGGTCGTCCAGAATATGTTCTGGGGCGCACTAGCATTGAAGGCTAGACTTTTGGCCACCGGTCTGCCCGGAACTAGCCTGCTTGACTCTATTGTTTTCAAGAAGATCAAGGAGGCGACCGGCGGTCGACTAAAGCTCTGCCTCAATGGCGGTGGTCCTATCGCAAAGGACACTCAACGATTCATCTCTATGGCCATCGCACCGATGATCATCGGTTACGGCCTTACGGAAACCAATGCTATGGGTTCCCTCATGAACCCTCTTGAGTGGACATCCGAGACGATCGGCGCAATGCCCTCATGCATTGAAGTTAAGCTAGTTGACTACCCGGATGCAGGTTACTACGCGACGAATAAACCAAACCCTCAAGGCGAGATTTGGATCCGAGGCGCCAGTGTAGCAGAAGAGTATTACCAGAATGAGAAGGAGACTAAGGAGAATATGGCTCCTGGCGGTTGGTTCAAGACAGGAGACATTGGTGAATGGGATTCCAATGGTCACCTGAAGATTATCGACCGCAAGAAGAACTTAGTCAAGACCTTGAACGGCGAATACATTGCGTTGGAAAAGTTAGAGTCTATTTACCGCTCAGCGCAGGTCGTGGCCAATATCTGCGTGTACGCGGATCAATCTAAGGCTAAGCCTATTGCGATCATCGTGCCGGCAGAAGCAGCGTTGAAGAAGCTAGCCGCCGAAAACGGGATACATGGGTCCAGTCTGGAAGAGCTTGTGCACGATAAGAAGCTAAATGGTATCGTACTAAGAGAGCTTCAAAATGCCGGACGATCTGGTGGCCTGTCCGGTATCGAGATCATTGAGGGAGTTGCGTTGTCAGACGAGGAATGGACGCCGCATAACGTAAGTCACTGAACCGTTTATAAACTAGTTCCGCGAGCTAACTATCCTATACAGGGTCTCGTAACCGCAGCCCAGAAACTCAACCGTAAAGGTATTCTCGCCAAGTACGAAAAGGAGGTGCACGAGGCGTACGCCTCCTCGAGCTAGGTGTCGGGAGACAACCTCGAGCCTTTTTGGGTGTCTTGGCTAGGTTGGTGGTGGTGGTGGTAGTCTTAGCCAAAGATAAAAAGCTATATGGATTAGGTAGGCTTATGTCGTTAGAACATCATAGCACAGGGCGTCGCGAGGGAGAGATTGCAATTAGAGTTGACGATCGAGACGACGCTGCGGACTTTCATTTCACGATGGATGCTGTAATGGTTTTTATTCTGTTTGAGTTGAGCGTTTTTATTTTATGTTTTTGTACTCGCGTGTACATTTGCAGAAGAGTAATGGTACGAGGGATGCATATGCTTGTACCCTGAAAGCCGGCTCGGGCGGAAGGGAGGTACACCTAACAGGTAATATATAAGTCTGGTTATGCTATGGGCGTGTCTTGCAGTGTATATTCCTAGTAAGACTACTTTAAAGGTGAAGAGTATTTGGGCATAACTACTAGATTAGAAACACTGGGCTCTAGGAAGACCGCTGAGCTAGGTATATTGTGTGGATGTTTAATTGTTGGTCAACTAATCATCGTTCATAATAACGGATAGGTTACGCCTAATATGGGGGGTGATAACTGCGACGATTATGATTATAAGTTACAGTAATAACACTATGTTCTGTCTAGTTATTTAATGGCTTGTTTTTGTAGTATAGAAATAGTCTGTTATATACTAGGTACTATTTAGCATAGTGTATAAGTCTTTCATTTATACGCAGGTGACTAATAGAATACGATATTATTAACCAATCTATGAAACTAGGTGGGTATACTAATTATATACTATGTTACCTTCTTATATACCTGTAATCATCTGTGAACAAGACCTTAGAAATTGCGAAGCTCAACCCTTCCTTAGCTATTATCATTATGTGCTCCACATCAAGTCTAGTACCTAGGTATACAATAGAAACGGGTAAGTTGAAGAAAATAGCTGAGCACACATGTATACTATACACTAGGTTAGGTCCCTCTTGCAGATCAGAGTACTATTTGGTTTCCTGATGTATTATTTTACACTACGAGGTGGGCAGATCTTCCAACGTGCATGGCGCTGTGTATACCGGGATCGCATCAGTACGTCATTTTAGTAACTCAGCCTGGACCATAGCCTTAAGGCTGTTCGATAAGAAAGTACCTATCCCATCCATCTATTATATATGTATGTATGACTCCGCCTCATATACAGATAGATAGATAAAATTGAGAGATTTCCCCGGCCTCAGCCACCTTGGTCAGAGGGCGGGGTGATAAGAGGGCGAAGCAGTTTATGTATTGGCATCTTTAAATTAAGACTTTTAACGGCTTCTTCCAGATATGTAGGTATAGTTATAGGGTAACATCAAGTTAAACATCACTATCAGATCAATAATCTAGAACAAACCAACTAGATCTTAACAAACATAAAAGCTCGAACACGGAAACTGACGTCACGTTACACGTATATATAGGTATATTATGAGAGAAACCCCAGATCTGTAATAACGTATGCGGCGTTAAGTCTAATCTCGTACAAAGTAGAGATTGCCTATCTAAAAGAAGGCTACTCACTTGCCTTGCCTGCTGCGCCTCGTTCTAGAAAGCCCGGGAGCAATTGCGGCTGCTGCTGCGGCTGCGGTAGCCGAGGGACCCAGTCTATTTAGGCCTGCGGACCTAGTTCCGGAGGACGAGGTGCTTGGCCGGTGCTTGATCATCACATTAGACTATCCTTAACCAGAGCGCCAGAAAAAAAAACCCCCCGGGATCTGGTCAACAACATACAACCGCGTTTATCCTTCTCTTGGAATATAGATGCCCGTGTAGGAGACAGAGAAAGGAAAATTTGATACACTGGCAGCAACCTTCCAAACGGGACTTTCATTACGACTTTGTCGTCTTTTGTTTTCTTTCTGGTTTGAGCTCTTGTTCTCTGCTAGGTCCTCTTCCCGTATTCCCGAAGTCGTCCGCTCTGGAAAGCCTCATTGCTGTCTAACCACACTCTTACGCAATAAGAATTATACCAGCCCGTCGTATAGAGAGAGTGCCGAGACAATTGTCTCGTCGCGTTTACTGCCTTCTTTAAACTCCTCCATATCTAGACTGCCGTTTTCGTCCTTATCCATCATGCGGAAGATCTTCTTGACACGCTTTTCGGGGGTATCTTCGTCCTCGGGAAGCTTCACCATCGAACCGACCTAATTCGAACCACAATTAGCACGCGTTGACTATTATTGGCTCTGAAATGGTGTATATATACCATTTTGTAGATCGCTTCCACGATCTTGAGCATCTCATCATAGCTAATCTTGCCGTCACCGTCGATGTCGTATAATTGGAAAGCCCAATCAAGTTTGTCCTCCATCTTTCCTCGGCTTGTGACGCTCAGAGCGCAGATGAATTCCTTGAAATCGATCGAGCCGGACTTGTCCGAATCGAAGACGTTGAATACATAATCTGCGAATGAAGATGGATCACCAAATGGAAAGAATTGTCGGTAGATCTTCTGGAATTCTTCTTTCGTGAGCATACCGGATGGGCAGTCTTTTAAGAAACCTATGACGCGATAAGTACAGATCCGGCCAGTAAATTGCAGCAACACAACACAACGACATGGCGGTAACTAACCCTTGTACCATTGTTGCAGTTCCTTCTTGTCGAAATGCGTGGATTTCTGGAGTTCGGCTAGTTGCTCTTGAGAGAGTTTCGATTGACTAGATAGTTTGCATTAGTCGTATTGGCCGGTATTTCAATGGGAGACAATGGCGATGAAGTTATCTCCGTCGTCCCCTACATGAAAGAGAGAGGAATTCTCGCATCATCATCGCGCAGCCGTACGTGACAGAGATATAATGCGAGATATTTCAGGTGAACTCACGATTTTCCCATCTTCGATTTAGTAACCTTGCGGTAGCAACTATTCTATTAAGTATGATGTTTTTCGGGGAGGCAGGAAAGTTGGCGTTTGTCGTGTGTCAAATCTCGAATCTCGCGAGGTCGAAGGTGAAGGGGGGTTGTTGATTATGCGACAAGTTCCAAAGCGAAAGCGAATGATGGCAAGGTGGGGTTTTGTCGCAACGGTGAAGATAACAATAAGTCCGACTAGGTTCAGGAGTCTTTCAAGTGTCGCAGCAGGGAAGAAGGTCTAATGCAGAAAAGTGTGAAAGTGTGAAAGTGTGCAAATGTGCAAATAGATGAAAGAAGTTCGAATACCAATACCAAAAATAAAAAAGTACGCTGCAGCAATAAGGGAAAGGTTAAAAGGTAGTTTACCTATGTTATCCTGTATTTAGGTTGAGGCAACCTAGAGTACACTGATGTATGCAGTTCAGATGATGTAGGTATGTAGGGTACATATGTAAGTATGGATGTACCTTATGTAGGTAAGGTACATAAGGTAGGCAGAAGACCTGGATGTATTGTGTACTTCGTACCTCTATGCTTTGTAAAAGAGCTCTAGAAATATGTAACGCGGTACCTAGGCTGGACTAGGCTGGCTTTTGCTACATACCATAGCGGAGGAATATGGTCCCGGAGAACTGTTCGAGAATTGAAAAACGTTCTTTCTTTAAGTAAGCAAACCATAACAGGTGCCTCGTTCTCTATCGTAAAAATGATTCTCAAAAGGAAAACAGTTTTTTAATAGAGAACGTTCCCGGAAAAGTGGGTCCAAAAGGCTAAAAAGAGGCTAAAAAGGCTAAAAAAGTCAAAAAGCGTGGTTTTTGAATCCAAAGCTCTTGCGTTTGTATAACGTTAAACTTTTTATTAAAGTTTAATATTTAAACGTTTAAGCTAATAGGACAAAATGGCTAATCTTATCGAATTATTTTAAAAATTTAATTGTTTTTACCTTTTATAACCTTTACTTTAAAAAAAGAATTTTTTATTTAGAAAAAAAAAATTTAAAAAAATTTTTTTTTTTTAAATAAAACTGATAAAAATATTTCCTAAAAAGGGAACGGTTCTTTAAAAGAGAACGGTTTTATACGTATCGAACAGCGGTTAGAAAATGGGTCTAAAAAATTAAAGTTTGGGCCCATTATTTCCGGATTTGGACCAATTAAAGGCCTGGAAACAGGGAACTGTTTCTTAATAGAGAACCGTTCCCCATAAATGACCGTTCTCTGAAACCCCCCATTTCCGCTATGGTAGGTGACAATAAGGCGGCCGAAGGACGGGATTGGACTGCGGTACGCAGATGAGATGCGAGCTTCGCACTTGGATTGAATCCTGCAACCCGTGCGTGTAATAGGTGCAATAAAAGTTGCAATGGGGTGCAATACATGCACGATAACTAGGTAATCTACCATCTACCTATTAGGTATCGTATATAAAATACAACTAGATACATACCTATGTACCTAGGAACTACATAGTAGAGAAAAAAGGGCTGGGCCTCTTGGGATCACTTATATGATCTCTCTAGGGGTCCGCCAGCTATTGCGCCGATCACCTAGGAACAACTGCGACGATGTAATGCAAGTTGAGGCTCTCTACCTTTGGTTGTGACCCTGAACTGTATGCTGTATGTTCCCATATGCTTAGGTGCGATGCGTTCCGGCAAATGGGATACTTTGTAAAGAATACTATAAACAATAGATGGTATAGACTCGGAAGGGAAATAATATAGATTTGGTGAGCGTAAACGTCAGTCCATCTTAGGTCTTGGGTTCAAAGAATTGGAAACTTGGAAGAATGCAGTTAACTAGTTAACAGGTACATAACTTAGGAGGTAGGTACCTAATGTAGGTACCTATTGTGGAAGGACGGGTTTAGTATCTGGACGAACTCAGTTCTGGCGGGGTAGTTAGATCATACCTAGGTAGGTACCTTACACTATGTAATGAATGGGGGGTTAGTATCCACAATTTACCTATCGTCCCTGCCAGCTGCCAGTATTAATCACCTGCCTACACAATAAGAGGTACATAACTACGCGCGTACAGGTTATGGGCTTGACGTAATTGGTCTTAGTGCCTCTCTGCTTCTACTTCTACTTCTAACTATCGAATTACCACAACCTGATTATGACATTCGGCTTTATTACTTGAGCTATTATCTAGTAATTCAGCCGAATAGTTAGACATACATACCTCGTATGTAACAGACTGGCTTGATCTAACTTGACGTCATGTAAAGTCATCACAATTAACCTATACGCTAATAAAAGCTACATCCGAGGTTGTCATATAGTACCTACCTAGCAAGCAACAAACTACCATCACTCGGTTTCCTCGTAACACATAAATAAGTAAATCGGAAACGATCTTGCTGACTGTCATATCTCAACGTTGATCACTCACTTCAGCATGCAGGGTTACGGGTCATCCCGTTTTATCCGCAAATTATCTAGCTATCTAGCAGGGTCCATGCTCTCAATTTTATAAGAGTGGTTACCTGTTCGGTAACGCCGGTGGCTTGGAGCTTTGCGTCATAGTGAAAGAACCTCTACTAACTATTGATAGATATGATAGACTAATATTTGAATATCCTCTTCGCTAGTACATAGTAGGTGGGATGTCACTAAGTAATTATATATACAGGTAACTACGTCTAAAAGCTACCTACCTATACTGTGGCTAGTGATAGTAGACTGACACGACTAATATTATATATGCCATTGAACACCTTTAGCAGTGAAAGACCCGGTTGTGTTCGATGAAGTATGCATATATTCCACAATGATGATATGAGGTATGTATCAAATAATTGAATGAACCACCCCTAATTCACAGCTCGGCCGAGTATTTACAAAGTCGGAACCAAACGCCAGCCCAATATCCCGTCCGTCGTTCATGCATCGTCCAAGCTCCACCATGCTGTAGCAGACGCTCATATCGCTTCTCATGAGGTATCTTTAGCGGACAAAAAAGGGGCACATATTTCGTAGCTTATTAAGTAGAACGCCAAGTCTTGCGCTAACGCTCTGGAGTATCTTGGTAGATTGAAAGGCTGCCTTGAGGAATTATCCAACGACGGTCTTTTGACTTAGGCTCTCAAGAAATCCGCCAAGGTCATCTTTCCGAACCTCGACGACGCAGTGCTCAAAGCTGTCTATTCGCACACGGGCATTTGTCTCGTTAACCACGTCCTGGAAGGCGGTGCCGAACTTGTTTAGTCCATAGCCACGTTCTTTATGCTCTTCAACTTCGTCCTCGTCCTCTGAATCCGAGTCTGATCCATCGCTGTCTTCGGATTCTGTTTCTTCCTCGTCATCGTCGTCACCAGCTGCGGCTCTCGCAGCGCGTTTCTCTTCCCTGATCTTTTCCCTGCTCTGTTGTTTCTGTTCGCGCTCCTTGAGCTTGGCTTCTTTAGCAGCCTGTTTCTTTTTGGCTGCTTCCTTATCTAGGAACGCTAGATCAGGCCCGCCGCCACCGCCGGTACCGACCACAACGTAGACGCCTCGCTTCTCATTTAAACTTGCTACAACGAGCGGTGTGCCGCGTCCGCCATGCGCCAGTTTCCCATTGACATCCTTTTCCTGCTCAGCAAGGGCCTCACCAACCCAAAGGGCGAGCTTCGTAAGCGCAGCAGGGTGTGTAAATAGAGGGACGTCCGGTCCGTCTTTAATAACGCAAAGACGGAAAGCATGTAAATGCTTGATTTGTTTTTTGCCAATCAGGGTGGTTCCCGTTCGAAAGATAGCACGATGAAGTTCTTTTGCTGTGGGAAGGCCCGCTTTTAGAGCATCGATGCTGGACACCATTAGTTTCTTAGCCCAGTTTCTTGTTCGTGGAACTTACTTTTCAAGAGCATCATACGCTCCCCAAAAGCGACTGACCCATTCTTGGGTTTCGGCCACTCCACCTTCATCTTCGAGGTCCTGTATTTGACTTGCTCGGAAGCGGCTATCCTCACCGGTTACCGTATTATGTTTGCCTACCTCGAGCAAAGCGCCAATGATCACCCCGACGTCTTGAGCGCTGAGCGTGGCTCGCCAACCCCAGCTCCGGACAAACCCCCATCCGTCCTTAGCCCCTGCTCGATCCCTGACATCTGTTTCCACCGCAGGCACCATATCGTCGAGATTATATAAAGATGCGTACTTTAGTAGCTTCGTACGTAGCTCCTTTTTCAGCATCATATCCATGTGTGTATAGCTCTGCTTGCATTGGACTAGGCTCACGCCCATTTTAGCAAGCAGCTTGTGTAAACGTTTGATGCCGCTCTCGCTCCAAATACGCAGTCTTGAGAAGAGATATGGTGAATGTAGCATACTATCATAGAGGCTCCAATGTCTAATCAGTAAGAATTTTGGTTCGGGGGATAGTCGAATACTCGTGTCCTCTGGGTTCCGAGCTGTGGTAGGGATAATTCCAGCACCATCTGATACTGAGAGTCTGCCCATTTCCGGTGGGTTAAGGCGCCTCACTTCGTCCCGCAGGAGTTGCCGTATCCGGGCGCCACGGACGCCCATCCAGCCATTTGACGGCCTAGAATCTGAACCGCGGACCATGACAGCTAAGCCGGCTGAAGAGCGACCATATAGTTCCATGGACGTGACGCCAACGATTGTTAGCCAAAGCAAATCATTGTCTTCCCGGCCCAACTCTGATGCTAGAGAGTAAATCATTGCACTAATAGGCTCAGAGTAAGAAGATCCCATTCTGTAGTACTTCCGAAGGATACCTTCATTCTCATTTCGCATTCGTAGCAGTCGTCTCCGAAGGGTGCGGGCTGACGGGCCTTTAGGAGGTTGAGCTCCGGACGGCGGATTTTCTAGGTCGTCCGATCTGATCAGATCGGAATCCCGTATTGAAATCAGTCCGCGCTGGGCCGGACGTTGCGGGGACTCCGGAATTGGGGTAGACTGAGAAAAGATCAGTGGGGGAGTTTCCAGCTTTGATTAGAGGGCATCTTACAGAATTACTCCTTCTCCTTTGTCGAGGTCGGTCATCTTCCTCACCGCTACTCTCATCATCCCGATCCGACCAAGACTTCCTCTTCTTGCCAGAACGTGGTGAGTGGTCCTCTACCTCACCTTCACCTTCACCTTCACCTTCACTTTCAGTATCACTTTCCCCATACGGCTCGCCATTATCTTCAATATCAGGCATATCAATTAGCGCCAGGTACGCGTCTCGTTCGGCTTTGAGCCCTTCTTCGATGTCACCGTCGTCGAATACAATAATGCCACCCTTTCCAGGTTTATACGAGTTGCCTACTCGGCCTGAAGCTACACCACTGGGGGCACGGGCTTGATAACTCGTGACGGCACCGGAAGTAGGCTCAAGTGGATATCCGCCGAAAACATTGCCAAGGTTCCACGGCCGATGCGAGTCTATAACCCAGACTTCAACACCACTGAAACTCGACTCTTCGCCTTCAGTCTCGAGTCCTAAAATAGTTCCCATGTCCACCATACCGCCGACGCCGAGACACACGACAACTCCTCCACTCCCTCCACGGCTCTCCATCATGGGACTGACGAGGTCCTGGCCAACGCGTTCGAGGTCCCCATATCCGGACACGGGGTGAATCTTGTGTGGTATATAGTCATGTTTGAGAAGCCGTGTTAAAATGCGACAGGCACAGAGGGCGTCGGGTTCAAGGGCGACAAGAATGAGGACCGGAGGTGATAGGGGATGTCGGGTGTTCTGAAGGTGAGTGTAGAGTTTTGATATGAGATCGCGTGGCAGATACATAGCTTGGAAGTATCTGAACGCGTCTTCGAGTCTGCTACGGCGGATTCATAGGACCGGTAACAAAGTGTAGCTGCGACGAGCTCAAGCCTTAGGTGCCTAGGTTCGGATTCGAGGAAGGTAAATCGAGTTCGTACACGCCAATTGCTTTGACAGGTAAGATATTAGGAATTGAACTGGCGGATATATTCCATAAATGATTAACAAAAGACTTTGGGTATGAATGTTATCATATCGTGACGTTGGAGGAGCGACAGGTAGAATTGATTAATTTTAGTGTGGACAAGGTATAAGTGTTGATGGCCGGAACGCGGTTTAAAGTGGGCAAGACGCGATTTGGTATTGTACATCGCGGGCGTGTTGGCGTAAAGCACCTTGCAGATACACTGTGCATTGCGCGGGACGATCCCACTTTTATGTGAGTAAGTTCAACCGGGTCAGGTACCTCTACATATCAGACAGAGATCAGCCACATTACCCCTGTAGCTGAAGACCTGATTCCCCCTTCAGCCCTATTTCTTAATCTAATCCATTCAATTAATGGAACTTTAAGTAATTGAACTTCAAGGTGCGCAATGTTCAATATCTCCTCATATGCTTAGTAAATATAAGTGCATTTCTAGGTAAATACTTATATCTGTCTAGGTCTCCTTCAATTCTGCCTGGTTGGGTAATTATCTATTGATATGCATTGGCTACTATTGGTTAAGAATACAGCTGTGCCGTTTAGAGATTTCTAGTCTACATGTAGCGTACAGTGGGGTGTAGCTTAGTACGTGTAACCACAATTAACTACTTCAATTATCTTATCAATCATCTTGATCATTACCTAGGTGGGTATATCACTTTACAGTTTACTTACCTAAGGTCAGCACTCAACGAGGACCGTTAAAACTTGACAGAGAAGACCATGCTAGCTGAATTACAAGGGGTAACTTAACAATGACATCATCCTCCCCCACGAGGCAGCTCTTCGAGCTCTGTGTTGGAGCAATATCAACAATCCAAAGCGAATGCAGTTCGATACTATCCGTGACACATCCATCCGATGAATCTTTTCCAACAGGACTAGCAGGGTGCGGTCCTGCTTTAGTTGATCTACTATTTCGACAGGCGGCTCAGATTAGTATTTACTATCA